TATATATATATATATATATATATATATATATATATATATATATATATATATATATATATATATATATATACACATATATATACCTAATTCTACTAGACGTATAAATTTGATCATTTTTGATAATTTTATTGGGGTAACTCATCGGTGGCTCCGTAAACTTGGCACATTCTTTCACTTAGACACTTCAACTGGAGGATTTTCATTTTAAACACCTAAAGTGGGGCATCTATGTGTTACTTAAACACTTTTTGCACAACTGGAGTGCCGCGTGAATTTCACTGATGCAAGGCACGTAAACATGAAAGTTTTGTCTGATGTGGAGTCCCTAACATTAATATTTTATCTATTTATATTGATTTTATTTCAATTATACCCTAATTTAAACCCCAATTTCTCTCTTCTTTTCAAATTTCTTCCTTTCTTTTTCAATTTCTCTCTTCTTCAACCTTTCATGTCAAACTTCTCCAATTCTTCCATAGCATCTGTGGATGAAGGTTGATATTGTAGGTGTGGTGATGACGCATTATTAAAGACTTCATGGACCTAATTAAATTCAGGGCATAGATTTTTTACTTGTAGAATTTCAAAGGTAAAATTCTTGTTTTCCTTACTTTTTTCAGGTCAATTTGACGATTAATTCTTTTGCATCTAATTTTTTTAATTGGTTTTGTATAGAAAATCGGTGGTTATGACTTATTTTTTTGTATGAAGATCGACAACCTCACAAGAAAACAAAGTAATGTGGGGATTGTTGAAGGAAGTCAATGCTTTTGATGAAATGTTAAGGCGAGCAGTAAATATATTTATTGTTGGTGTCGTTTCTACTGGGTTGCTTATGTTTGGAATATGAAAATTGAAGCCTAATTGTTAGTATTCTTGATGTGTTCGGTCTAGTACTGAGCCAAACGATGTTTGATGTAGTAGTATTTAGATGTTGTCGCTGTAAATTTTTGATGTAATTGTGCTTTTGAATTCAATGAAATTCTAAGTTTTAGTAGTATTTTGATGTTGTTATTACTGTAAAATTTACTTTTGGCTTCATATAAAGTAGTATAAAAAAATGCTCAGGCTATAAACATATTGATCATATTCGTCACAATGTAACATCAAAATTACACAATATGTTGACAATTATATTGAATGCTCCATAATGAGCTCAAAGGTTAGTATTATTCTACATAAAATAAGGTCCCAAAATAAAGCTAGCATAAACAAAAGTTACATACAATCATCTTAAGCATCTAGGCTTAAACTCACTGTCTATACCCATTAAACTTGCATCCTCATAACTTGAACCTGTTCGTAGAATTCTTTGACTTGAAGTCCCAGACTGTTTTTTGAAGAACAAATCAAAATTAATATATACACTTTCATTCACTTAAGAGACATTTAGTGAGAAACTTATGTTTAGTATTTGGGTTCCACTTGCACTTGTGTAGATGCAAAATCCAACATTGCTTGATCCACCTTTAGTTTGCCTCTTTGGTCCACCTCTTGCAGAATCTTCTCTAGCTTCAACATTTCCTCTTTTTTGTCTAGCAATTTGTCTTGTCTTTGGAGGTGATTGACTGGTTATTCGTCTTGTAACAAGAAAACTTGTATCCTCAATTGGTGGTGGTTGGCTTATTTTTGTAGTTTCTCTAGCCCTTTTAACTCTACTGTTATTACCACAAACTATTGTTGAAGAAACATGATTGTTTGATTTTGTTGGTCCAGGTGGGTAGGAGCTTGTTTGTTCAGGGTGGCTACTTCCCTATGAACTTTGACCAGCACTAAATTGTGAATTATGCCTAGCTGATTGTGAAGTATGGACACCAACCTAAATATAAAACATAAAGTATGTTCATAATATTCAACAAGACTTTAAAAAAGTCACAAACAAATAATAAATTAATTTACGTTGCAATATTTTTTGTTGTGGCCTGATTGTTTACACTGGGAACAAGTAATTTTCACCCATTGTTTGGACATCTTCCCATACTTCTTTCTTGGTTTATCTTTACTCTCTCTTCTATTTCCTTGAGGTCTATCAGGCATTTTGTTTAGGCTCAGGAGGCTCAATCCTTGGATTGTTAGTTTCAGACCACATCATTATATTTAGAATTGGTTGAATCAAACGACTATAAGCCTTTAAGGAGGTATCCTTCCTATACCAATGCTCCACAAGTGATTCAGGTTCCTGTCCTATATGGTACAAAGCAAAAATAGCATGTTGACATGGAATGCCTCTCAAGTGCCAAGTTCTACAGCTACAAACTCTATTATTCAAGTTGACCATATGCCTATACTGCGCTTCTCCAATCTCAAATCCAACATCAGCATTCCAAAGCACCTTGCATGCCGTAGACTTTTCCTTATTCTCCTCCAACATAAGTCTAGCCATATGTGCAATATCACATATCCAGGTGTCAGCAAACTTAACCATATCCATAGTTCTAGTCATTAATTTTCCCCTAATTTCCTCCAACATGGCTATTATAGATTTGTGTCTACAAGATAATATCCAATAGTTAAAGGTTTCAGACATGTTATTTTCAACTGCATCACATTTGGAGTGCTCTTGAAAGAATGCTCTAACCCATGACACTCTTGGATAATGTAATAAATCTTCATTAATGTTTTCATTACCAAGTTTGCTCATTTTGTAAAATTCCTCATTATACTTCACTTCAAAAGTTGCCTTGGAACATCTCCAAAATTGTTTTCCCTTTTCCTCTCCCTTCCATATTTTACTCCAGTTAGACCAGATGTGTCTAGCACACATTCTAACTTCAGCATTTGGTAGCAGTTCAGCAACAACTCCTTGAAGACCCTACAATAAAATACAATTCAAGAAAGAAAAAACATCTTATAAATCTACAATCATCAAAGTAATAGAAAATTAATTATCTTCTGCAAATCTGACATTACAATAAGACCCTCTCTAGTACCCAACTGCAAGTCATCTTTCAAGTAATTGATAAAAAAGCTCCAGCTGTGTTTAGTCTCCTTGTCCACAACTGTCCAAGCTATAAAAAACATCTGATTGTTTCCATTCCTGCCAACTGCTTGTCACGACCCAAAACGAGTCGTGAGTAACACCCACACTTAACCCCCTAGGTGGGTGAACCAATGATTTTAACCCCAACTTACAAACTAAAAGCATAATGTGGAAACTCAAAAACATACTAAATATCTTTTCCCAAACCTGAAAGTCATCACAACAAGGACATCTAGTCTCCAATTACTAAGTTTAAGAGTATCAAAGACACCAAAATAAATACAATAAAGTAATTTGTGTCCGAACACTAAGGACATCAGGTAATGACTGAGAGAATCCAACCCAAGCTCGAATGAATAGCTCACCCTTTAACCTGATATACCGAGACTGGATAGAGCTGAGGGCTATTCAAATTTGTCGATACACTTGTTGTACTCCATATAAGGAAAACAAAGAAAAATACAAGTAGGGCTCAGTACGAGGCAACATGTACTGAGTAAGTATCATCCGGCAATCCAAAATAGTAACTAATATACAAATAATAATAGTATAAAATCAACTATAGTACTGAATAGGTGAGAAGAAACAAATAACATGAACAAGTAACAACTGAAGCAAGTACATTATGAATCACAATATCAAGCACACACGAGGACTCATGCCTCCACACCACATTTGTTGGAAAATGGGTTCATTGAGATTGAGTACATTAAATTAATTCAATATCCTTTTCCTTTAATGTTACTGTGTGGGAATGTGACACTCTGATCTAATTATATAGTGTCGGAATGTGACACTTTGATCTAATTATACCGTATCGAAATGTGACACTCCAATCCAATTATATTGTGTTAGAACGTGACAGTCCGATCCAAGAATACTGTGTCAAAACATGACACTCTGATCCAAGAATACCGTGTTGAAATGTGACATCCCGATCCAAGAATACAGTGTCAAAACGTGACACTCCAATCCAAGAATATCGTTAATTTATCCTTTATTATCACCACTTTCAATTCATTGTTATGTTATTTCATCAAGCCTTTTTTATTCAAGGCATCACTTCGATAAAGAGGGTTCAACGGTCTCAGAATTTCAGACTATTCACAAACCACACCACCAAGTCACACAATCACGCAGTCAAGTACATCGAGAACTTCACAACATCATTCAATGCATACAAATCACTATTAAGAGTTTACTATCAAATAGCATAAACCATAACCAACCTCCACCAAAGAAACGAAGTCAAACAAACTACGTCTTAAATGCCTTTCATTTCTTCAATACATCCGAACACTTCTATCTATCAAATATATATAATTTGTAAATTAACGAGTATATTAACACTCATGCCACTATATGTCGAGCCGTTAAATCTTATTCATCCATTTAAAATAACTTAAATGTAATTCCAATAATTCGATACACCTAATATTTAATTACCCGTCTCAATATACTTAACTTAAATCCTATCAAGATGTTGAAATTTTGTACAGTCTCCATGATCTTTGTTTTCTTGCAACTCTATTCAATCTATATAATATAAATATGTAATGGTAATAACATAGTTTCACTTTCAATCATTAATTATCAACTATGAGGTCATACATTGATGCCAAGACTCAATGCACGTGACTGCCTACAAGTTTTTAACCCAATTCCTTAATAACAAAATCAATCAAACCTATACTAGATAATGGAGAAACCCGTGTAACCTCTATACATATCAAATAAACATATACTAACAATTTCCTACACTTACAAGCTATAACTTTCCTACATCACCATGTTCCTTACATGATTATTGTACTTTAAATCCATCTTACACTAATGTAATTCAAGAGGGACATTAATTGATACTACTACTAGCCATAATTTTTTTCCTAAGCTCTAAAACCAAAAACACAATTTTTTCATTCTTATTTGCAAACATTAATTTCTTATTTAATCATAAAGGTAAAGAAAATAGGTTGTATCTTGCTGCTTGCACTTAGCTTATCCCACAAACAATAAACAAAAAGTTATCACATAATTCTTACATATCACTATTAAGACAAATTCTCCCAACTAACTTATTCTCCCACAACAATATTATATTCCCTCAAATCCATTTTGTCATCGAAATCATATGATCCTTGAAGAAGAGAGACGGAAGAAACCTTATTCCAATTTCCCTTAATTTATCCATCTCTCTAATCATTAGCCCTTAATTATTTTATCATCATCAATTCAACTAATAAATAATAATTTAACATATCCAAGTAATAAGCCATGTCGTACAAAAACATATTTTCCAATTTAAATGTATTATTCAACCCACCACTAATTTGCTAATTATCTATTCACCAAGCTTAGATTTTATAGCCACCAACAGATAATTACATGTAAATCAAATGGAAAACGTAAATTTAGGCTACCTGAATCGATTTTCTCCATTACTGCTTGTGTCAAACCAGCAAACCATGTTTTCTTTTAATTCACCACTCAAAATTAGTAAACCCTAATTATTACAAGACTAATTTAAGAAAATTGCAAAAGTCACCCACTACTAATTCTAATGTTATTTTCTTTAACCGTCAATAAAATAAATTATTAAAACTATCCCATTAATTTAATAATTATAGTTACAAATAGTACAAAATTTTTACTTTAAATATATCGAAAGAGTCTTTCATGCAATAAAATGCCCTAGTACTTACAACGATTAAAAGGGTCATTACAATATATACCAATTTACCCATCATTCGTCCTCGAACGATCAAAAGAAGGTGAGGGTAAGAAAGGGTACCTCATGTCTCAAAAATTCCTTCAAAATATTAGTACCCAATGTCTCATATCAAAAGTATCAATCCAACTAATTGGAGATCTACAACTCCTCTCATACTATGTCTCAAATAGGGTTATATCACTACTCAATTGATAGCTATTGTGGTTGTGAACACCTAATTTTTGACTTGTTTATTTTACTCCTATAATATTTTTAGTAAGGAATTTTATTATTTTTTTATTTGAATTTTAGGTATTTGTTTTTATTATTTTATTGGCTCAAATGACCCAATTTTGTTTAAATTGGCCTGATTTAGATCAATTTTGATGGTCTAATTGATCTTGACCCGGTCCATAGAAATGGTCAAGATTGAATCTCAACCATTAATGATATTTTGATCCAAGGGCTATTATTGGACCCAAACAAAAATACAAAACTCCAAAAAATTAGCATTTTTTTGTTTTTATTTTTGATTTTTTCCCTTTCTTCTTCCCCTTGCTACCATGACGCCGACCGGCCATCGCTATCGCCACCATCGCTACCGCCACCACCGCACAGTGGCCACCACCTTTTTGGCCGGATTTTTTAAAAAATTTACCATCTTTTCCTTTCATCCTCCTCTACCTAAATCTGCAAACCTTTCATCCATATCTATAGCCAAACTCCGTAGATCTAAGGAAAACCAAATATAAAGTTTTACTTTTTCCTTAGATTTATAAAGTTCCGGTCATTCATCGCAAACCCTTTACATAAATGTGTAGAGCTCTTCGAGGGCTATCATTTGATATAAATTTTAAGTTCAAAATTCATCAAAAAAATTCCGGCGGCCTTCATTTACCCAGAAGTTATGTCAATCTTTTTCTCCCTCTCAATCTTTATCCAAATTCATCATTATCTTTTTTCGTTTGACAATATAAGTCGTTTGATGTCGAATTTGTGTTATTAATGTTCTTTAAGTTTATCATGTTGGTGATTTGCTTGAAGTATTATTATTATTATTTATTTATTTTTATTTCGATTTTTATGTTTATTAATTATTTTTTTTACTTTTTTTCTGCACTATTTTGTTGTGTTTGATCTTTAGAATTGTTTAAATGTTTATATTTTTTTTAGTGGATCAATTTGTTTGGGTCTTGATGAAATGGGTAAACATTTGGGCCTATTTTAGATTTTTTTCAGATGACCCATTAACTATTATTCAAACAATGAATAAAA